ATATATATATATATTTCTCATTGCTTCATGTGGGTGGGCATGGACTGAGCATCTACTGGGCTGGGCTCTAGCAGGAACTTATAGAAGAAGGCTGCCCAGGACAGTGTGGAAAGGCCTGGGTTTGGGTTTTCTGAAGTACTTTTCCCACTGACCAGCTATGTGACCTCAATCAAATGCTATATCCATTTTCTTTCCTGGCGAAGGCTTAATAATAGTGCCTGAATTATGAAGTTATGGAATAATATTTATTACATGAAATAAGCATGCAAAACAGTCATAGTGGTCAACCCATTGGCCTTTCAACCAATCAAAGTGTAATATGTTAATAATATGCTAAGGCCACTCAACCACTCTCTATAATGTTCATTGACCACCAGGGGGCAGACACTCTGACCTTTAGGTTAGCTTGCTGCTGGGATCCGACTGATTGGGACTGAGAGAGATGGGCTGGAAACACCTTGGAGCCCTCCCGTATTCCCTCCCCAAATGGCCCACCTCCAAGTCCTTCCCCAGCCCCAATCTTGCACCGGTGGGGTCCCTCAGCCTGACCTGTGCCCTCTCACAATCAAGGACCCCTCAGGGGATGTTAAAGAACTGGTTTCGGCTTGATCCCTCAGGCCAGGCCAAGGGACTCCAATGGTGCACAAATTCGTGTACTGGGCCTCTAGTCCATTAATAAACATTAGCTATTGATATTTTATAAAATAAAGAAATAAGAGCTTAATAGAAGGAACCTAATATTTAAGTGTGAAAAAAGCACATCAGACTCAGGCTTTCATCTTTACTAGTCATACACTATAATTTTCAGGTAAGTTATTTGACATCTCTGAGACCCTGTTTCATTAATTTTATTTATTTTTTTATGAAAAATAAATTTTAATGACAATTCAGGAGATTCAATGTCAAAAAAAGGGTAGACAATAGCAAGGACATAAGGAATGGCCACGTGCTACTTACTTCCATGGCTGTCTCTAAGCTGACTAGAACTCCAGTGTAAAATAATACTGAATAGTTGGGGGTGACAGTTTCATCACTAAGTCCACTGCCTTCTGCAAGAGTTTACTATTTATCCTTTATTTGATTCAGGACATTTCTTTCTATTCTTAATTTTCTCAGAGGTTTCTTTATTTAATTAATCATGAATTTAGATTGCATTTTATCAAATGTCTACTTTTTAAATCTACTGGGGTATTTTTCTTCCAAACTCTTTCATGGACTTAGTTATAGAAAAGATTTGAAGATGTTTAACCATTTGTGCAGTCATAGGAAAAGGCCGGTAGATCATTGTTATTCTTTGCAATATGAAGTGTGACAGGTTGTATTGTCTGAAAATGGCTTCAATAAGATTTTCCATGTTATCTGTTCTTCCAACAATGTAATTTGCTTCTCCCATGGGCAGGTTGGGTTTAGGTTCCCTCTCCAGAAATCTAAATTTACCAAGGCTCTGGTAGAAGTGACATGATAGGACCTCTAAGGTTAGGCCATGCCGGAAGCCGGTCCATCCTTGCTGCTTAGCACAGTCGGTGCAGGGAAATAACATCTGCACAGCATATGGTTCAAGGGTCCTGGCGTATATGGCATACTGTTCTTAATATGTTTGCTCCCCTTCTTGGCGCTATATGTTTTAACCAAGGTCCCCTCTCCGGGATTAAAATCAACTGGTATAAATACAGATGTAACAAGACAATAAAACACAGAACTTGGCTAGAGATCCTGGATAGGCTGCTGATCAACTGAAGGCTATCTCCGTGTCATTCCTTCTTCCCTGGACTCTGTCCACACCTTTGGGGATCCCTGGACCTGCTGGGGTTGGACACCAACACCGCCATAAAAGGCAGTACAGCTTCTGCCTGCTTCTCTTGAGCTATGTGCTCCTGGATCCAGCCATGATGAGGCGCTCAGGGATCCAGATCCAGCCCCCTCCTCCCGCCCCTAGAGGAAAGGGAAGTGGCGGTGGGCTCGGGCGGAAGCAGGAAGATGTGAGTGGGGTTGCAGGGGGTCATGGGGCCATGGCCGAGAACTTGGACCACCTGGAGGAGCATCTGGAGAAGTTCGTGGAGAACATCCGGCAGCTCGGCATCATCGCCAGCGACTTCCAGCCCAGCAGCCAGGCCGGGCTCAACCAGAAACTGAATTTGATCGTGACCGGCTTATAGGATATTGATAAGTGCAGACAGCAGCTTCCAGACATTACTGTACCTTTAGAAGTTTTCGAATATATAGATCAAGGTCGAAACCCACAACTCTACACCAAAGAGTGCCTGGAAAGAGCTCTGGCAAAAAATGAACAAGTTAAAGAGAAGATTGATACGATGAAGAAATTTAAAAGCCTGTTGACTCAAGAGCTTTCTAAAGTCTTTCCAGAAGACATGGCTAAGTACCGAAGCATCCGAGGGGAGGGCCATCCCCCATCGTAACTTCCTCTTCGAACATCCAGTCCTGTGTGAATCACCGTAACCTTCAGGCAGCTTGTGACTGAGTGGCCCCAGAGACAGGAGACCTAGAGGATTTTGTAGAGCTGTGCTGCCAGCAGCCCCCTCTTTGCAGAGGGCTGGTGAGCACACATTTTTGAGGACGATGCATTTGATCCTGTATGGCAGAATTATCTTGGAAATATTTTTCTTAATTAAATCTTTATTGTTCAGATTATTACATTTGTTCCTCTTTTTTCCCCCATAACTCCACTTCTCCCAATTCCCGCCCCACCCCTGTCCTTCCTACCCACCCACTGTCCTCATCCATTTGTGCACGATTTTTGTCCAATCTCTTCCTGCATCTCCCACACCCCTTTCCCCCCAAGTATAGTCAGTCCATTCCCTTTCTATGTCCCTGATTCTATTATAATCACCAGTTCATACTGTTAATCAGATTCTTTATTCACTTGATTCTTAGATTCACTTGTTGATAGATGCGTATTTGTTGTTCATAATTTGTATCTTTACCTTTTTCTGCTTCTTCCTCTTCTTAAAGGATACCTTTCAGCATTTCATATAATACTGGTTTGGTGGTGATGAACTCCTTTAGCTTTTCCTTATCTGTGAAGCTCTTTATCTGACCTTCACTACTGAATG